ATGTTAATTTATTTCGGGACTTCCACGTTATCGTTTCATAAGGCGATACTTGTAGGTACTTGAAGGATTTATTAATAATTAATATATACAGTATATATATTGTTTAAGTTTACTGAAAATCGATATTATTGTATAAGCCATGTTTAATATATTAACAATACAATGAATGTGTATTGCCACGTTTATGTAATACGTGAAATGAGTATATACTAATATGGTAGGAGCTGTGTTCACAAAGATCGATTTTTCTTCTTAAAAAAAAAAAAATTGGATTTATGGCGCCACCGAAAAATCAAGGGAAAAATCTAGAAGCCGAAAGTGTGTTGCAGGCGGTTGTTCTTGCAGACAGTTTCAACAAACGGTTTCGCCCTCTGACCCTCGATAAGCCGCGTGTATGTGTTTCATGGATATTCCTTCTTTCATTATTTTAGCCTGTGTCGTGTCTAATGCTGGGGTAAAACCAGTGCCTCTTACCTCTTTGCAACACTCCACTGATCGAGTATACCCTGGAGTCCCTTGCGGTTGCCGGGGTGCAAAAGGTATACTTGTTTTGTAAGGAGCATTCCGAAAAAGTGAAAGAATATATCAAGTGGGTTATTTAAAATTGTAATGACTTCTTTCATATTGTGTATTTAGTTATTTATTTAAATATTTGTTCCAGAGAATCCAAATGGAGTCGATCGTATTCTCCACTAGAGATCATAACTATTTTGGCACGAGAAGCACGCTCGGTCGGCGACGTATTGCGAGAATTGGACGCGAAACAATTTATCAATTCGGATTTTATACTAATGAGTGGCGATGTGGTATCAAATATAAATTTGGAAAAAGTTCTTGATGCTCATAGGTAAACTTGGAATTTCAATTCATTTTGTCAATTTCGTCCAATTCCGTCTAATTCCGTCTAAACATATTCTTTTGTGACAAAGAATGCGGAAATCGACGGACAAAAATGCAATCATGACAATGGTAATTCAATAACAAAATGGGTCGATCTTATTACGTATGATGTAAACCTCAAGGTGATGATAATTTCGTCCATTATTAATATTGATTTAGGTAACCAAGGAAGCGAGCCCCTTTCACAGAACAAGGTAATGGATTCAAAGGATTCGTGGATAAGGGGATGAATTTATTAAACACTTGGTCATTTAGGGCTATGGGTGAATCTTCAATTTTCGTTCTTGACGCGAAAACTAACGAATGTGTTCACTACGAGTCAGTCGAAGCATTTCCACGCAAACGACGAATGGTTATGAGCACCGAAGTGTTTAAAAAGCACGCTGACATTCAGATACGCAACGATCTTATCGATTGTCAAATTGACATTTGTTCGGTGGAGGTGAATATAAGTGTTACAATAATTTAATTTGCTCTTCTCGGTATTATTGCTTCATCTTTAGTTGAATTATTCATCATTGTTAGGTTCCACCTTTATTTACCGAGAACTTTGATTATCAAGACATAAGAAAAGATTTTGTATACGGAATTTTGACATCTGAACTACTGGGGAAAACTATTTATTGTCACGTTGTTAAAGATGCTTATGCAGCAAGGGTGAGAAGTCTGCAGACTTACGATGCTATAAGGTATTATTATTTTTACCCATCTATTTTGAAATTTCTTGTCACATATATTTATCATGCTGACATCATCTCTTGAACGAATAGTAAAGATGTTTTATCACGGTGGACTTACCCCATCGTTCCCGATAATAATTTACAAGAGGGTGATAGTTACGAATATATGCGTGGTCAGATTTACAAAGAACGGAACGTTGAGCTATCGAGGTATTATTTTTATATAAATATTTGCTTCGACTCTGTTTGACCTCTCGATTTTTTAGATCTTGTTCGCTGGGCGAGAAAGTGTTGATAGGTGCTGGTACCAGAATTGCCGAGAATGTCAAGATAACAAATTCCGTAATCGGTAGAAATGTTGACATAGGTATTTTTTTTTTTTTTTTTGGAGTTTCTCTGGTATTGTGGTCTTCAATTTTTAAAGACAATCCATTCATAGGTCCTAATGTCGAAATTGACGGTGCTTATATTTGGGACGGTGTCAAGATTAATGCGAATTGTTCAATATTTCGTTCTATACTGGCGAATAATGTCGTATTGGAAGAGAATGTGATCGTCAATAAGGGTTGCTTGTTGGCTTGCGATGTAAGCGAAATCATTTCCTCTGACAACCTTTTTGAAAAAGAAAGAAGTCACATCTCATGCGTTCCAATGTAATTCAGGTTGTAATTGGGCCTAACGTGACATTGGAACCACACACAAAGTTATCAAAGCATAAGCAAAAATTTGAATCTGAATTTGATGACGATGAGGAGGAAGAAGAAGAGGAAGAAGAAGAAGAAGATGATGATGATGAGAAATTGCTCGAGAATGGTTGGTCAAGTGCTTTATTATTGAGTTGACCTTTTTGATTCCATGTCTAATTCTTTTATCGACGGGCTCTTTGAAGCTTACGATACGAGGTTGGTCGGCGAAAATGGCAAAGGACATCTGTGGTCCGATGAAACCTCAGACGCGGACGATGAAATTAATAAGAACATGCAAGTCGCTTCACTTAGTAAATGAACTTCCCTCTCAATTTCATCATTACTTTTGTTTGATCACCTTTTAATGCTATTATTATCCCCTACGCACCAACAACTAGCACATGATATTTCCAATATATTAATAAGCGATTCTTCCGCATCGGTTGTGAGTGATGGGTCTTCTTTTGAAGAAAGTGATTCGGACGAGTTATCAGCCCAAGAAATATTTCAGAAGGAAGTCGTTCAAACGCTCGAGAGGGCGTTTTCCGATGGACATACAGTAGAAATAGCTTTGTTAGAACTAAATACCCTGAGATTGGCATCAAATGTCACTTTTCATGACTTGCTTGTAGTAGTAATTCCCACTGTGCTAAGTCGAATCGACAAAAAGAGATTGATGCACAGTACAAAAGAAGTGGGTATCATTTTCGGCCGCAGAATGATGATCACCGAAACCTTTATCATATTTTGGTGATTTTGAAATTTATACTTCACACTTTTTAGATTCTGGGTCGCTGGGGGCCGCTCATAGGAAAGATGATCCATTCTAAAAGAGATCAAGTTGACACTATACAGATATTACAGGTATCATTTCAACAATCAAGAAGTTGTCTTTCTCATGAGATCGACTCTAATGATTCATGTCGGTCTAACAAAAACACAGGAGCATTGTGCTGAAACACAGGCGGACTTTAAGATTTTCGCACCGGCCTGTCGTATCCTCTATGAGATGGATATATTTGAGGAAGAAGCGATATTAAAGTGGTATTATTCTGATTTGTCAAAACGTGATACACTAAAGCCAGTTCGTGATCAGGTACGCTTTCTCATGTATCGGCATCAATCAGTACGCGTATTGATTTATTTATTTAAATGATCTCACCATTGATCCGTGATTTATTATAGGTCGCTCCGTTCATCACATGGCTAGAGGAGGCCGAGGAGGAAGATTCAGATGAGGCGGATGAGGATGAATAGATAAATGAATAAATAATCGATTAATTACTTAAATTGGCAGATCAGATAATGTATATGCTAATATGGTTATAAATAAATTATTAATTGCATCTCACGTGACCATAAACAGGTTGTGCATAAAATGATCGCACTTAACTGCATGCCGTTAGACAAAACGTTTGTAAAAAAAAAATGGAAGAGGTTTTTATCTTTCCTAAACCTGGAGAAATTATTACCCATGATTTTCGCCAATACTCAAATTTATCGAATAGTTCAAGTGGAACCTTGAAATGTCTTCAGTGGAATGTTGAACGCAACTATTGTTCATCAAAGATACTTTCCACCTTGGAAGAGCTGGACCCGGACATTGCATTTCTTCAAGAGATAGACATTGGTTGCAAACGCTCCGAGGGCAAAAATCATTTTAAGGAGATAGCATCTAGATTAGGTTGGAAAGGTGGCTTTGTATGTGAATTTTTGGAGTTGGAAAGCGAGTTAAGAAGAGAACGAGATCAAGGAGGTGGAGTTCACGGTAACGCCATATTTACCAAACACGAAATATCCTTTCGCGTTATTGACCATAAGCACCATCCTTTGGATTGGGAACGAGAGGGCGTGTCCTTTCGTGAACCGAGGATAGGAAGGTGAGCAGGTCACGACCTACTTTTGTAAGCGAAACTACCTTATCATCGTATCATTCAAGCCTTTTACATAACCAGGAGATTTACATTGGTGGCAGAAGTGTTGACACCGATTGGCCCGCCAATTTTATGCTATTGTGTTCACTTAGAGGTAATTGACGTGACACGATGAATCTGTTTAGTTTCTTTCAGTAAAAGATTGTTACTTCTTCGATATAAAGGTTTTCTGTGGGATAGTCGGCAGAATCACTCAATTTTCTGAAATATTAGCCGACTCCACCAAACACATTGAAACTCATCCAAATCAATTGATCTTTGGAGATTTGAACACCTTGGGGCATTCAATCGCCCGACTGTCGCCATTGTACTGTACGGACAGATATCGCTTCTTGTCATTGGGTTGGACCGAGTCCGAATGGTGGGACGCCAACCTTTTTGGTTGGCACGTTTGTGACGGGGAGATTAACCTTAAACTGCAATCCGGGGGATCCAAAACCTTGGAGGCATTTTTGAAGACAAATCAAAAGTTCAATGAACGCGATCTTAACATAACCTCTGGATTTTCATCAGGAGTGTTACGTGCGGCTCGAAATCCAGGGTTTTATGATCCTTGGTCACCAACCAAGGATATCACCTTGCATAACATGAACTACCCGGTCTTATTCTCGGCAAAATTGGATTGGACATTGGTGTGTGGATTTGACGTGGTCAATCGGTGGATGGGTAACGACGATTATTCAGCTTCGGATCATAAATACATGATGGTGGAATTGAAATTCGATGTTGAGGAGGATGCGGTCGGTGATGAAAATTTAAAAATTTTATCATCAAGAGATCGATGGGAGAAGAAAAGAAATCTTTGGAAGGGTGAATTAGACGATGTGACAAATAGTAATGGCGGAATGGGAAGGTGGATGAAGATTGTCGGACTAGGAGTTAGTGTTGCGGCAATTGCGACCACGATTCTCAGACAGCGATAATATGATAGATTCCTATCAGATTGACTAATTACTTCATCACCATATGTCAGAATAATTCAATTCTTGTTGATTCACATAGATTTTACGCGAGGATCATGGTATTCAAAACTTTATTAGACAATAAAAACAAGACACTCAAGGTTTTCCTACTAATTTCTCTTTTTCTTTTTTCAATATCGACATTACATTTTCTTTGTAATAATAATTACCATGGAATTAATACTGCACTCGATAATTGAATGTCATTTTTAAAATTTCATTATTTATGTTCTACGTCCGAAAGTAAGACACCTGTTTCCTGAAAAACGCGATGAGATAAAGTCTTTCGTTTAATTTAAACAGGATCGCTCGTGTTCACATTCGCGTTAAAGTTAACGAATGGCGATTTCTCCTTTCTTTCAAGATTTCCTCGACCATCACGAGACAACATTAAATCATTGTCCGAAATTGACGTAAAGGTAGAATTTGTTCGCAACTGATAGGCAGTGATTCGTTCTTCCACCTTATACCAATCGACACAGTTCCAAAACGCGTCTATGTATTTTTCCTTGCCTTCCATGCCAAAATCTCGAAGGTACGCATGTTCCCATACATTCAGTGCTAACAAAGGGATGAATTTTGATTGGTGCGTTGGTTCCTGAACTAATTTTATGGATGGTGGTGGAAGAGGTTTTGTCGATTCATTGATGTTGGCGGTTGGTGAGAATGGTGAGGTGGCGGTGAAAAAGAATGGCGAATCGGGTAGTGGCGAAGGATGGTTGTTGGGATCGTAGGATTGAAGACGTGTCGTATCGAGGGGAGTTCCTGATTGAAATGATAACAATAAACTTGTTGAACATGCGTTTGCTTTAGGAAGGGTACCGGTTTTATCATTGATTATACCTGCGTTGTACGTGTTGATTATTCGAAGGACACGAAATTCGGTCAACACAAGCCTAATCCAATAGATGCATGATGAGACGGTGCATATGAATATATGATGAAAAAATAATTGCGCGCTTACCACGTCCAGCCCGAACCGAATAAACCCAAGGCCATATATTTAAACTAAGTGACAGAGCCAATGAAAATTAAACAGATTTCAGCGTTTACACGTAGGCTCATCTATGCGTGTGTACGAAAAATGATTTACATGATTCTGGAAATTTTCGAATGACCCAAATTCATATTTGATGCTTTCGCTCGAATTTGAGAGAGGTGTCAGCTGCTTGCCACTTGTACTCTAAAATGATCCGATCATTTATTATTATCTTTAGAAGAATTGACATAATTTTCTTCTAAAATGTAATGATTATTACATACCAAGGTTCGCAGAAAAAAATCATTATTCCACACTTGAGAAGCGCAATTAAACAATTGTGCCTTTTCCGGTACTTGCGCGGTTTTCGCAATGGTCGTGAATATGTGTTCTTGTTCGAATTCCGTTCCTTCACGTAGGAAATTTACGGAAACTGAGATGTCGTTTCGTTATTAGAAAGAGGAAAATGATATAGGGTACCGGCAACAAGATTATTTAGGGTATCAATAAGTGAAGACTGATACTCCCATAAGTCCTTCAAGGTTTCAGCTGAAAATAGTGGGGGAAGTCCCTCTTCTATGACGAAAGGTAAAGGTTGGACGAGGTGTATACTTCGTGAACCAAGACTTTTCGGTTCTAATGGTGTGTATTTTGGTCTCCACTGTTGTTGAAATAGTTGATTTGTGTAAAATGAATTGTTTCTCGAGAGCAAGGTGGAAGAATAAGCTCTTTTTATTAAACGGTGGATGACCATTGTAATGGGCAAGTAATTCGTACGAGTATCTTTTTTGATTATCAAAAAAAAAAAAAAAAAATTGATGCATTCTCAGTCACGAGGTTGTACAATCGTTTTTATAGATGACTGATTCGGAGACGTCTGTTTACGTGCTTACCTGGTTGATAAAATGGTATGAGCGTGGAAATGTTGCATTCGTTACTTTTTGGCGTGCTTCTAATCGCATCCTTCTACTCCTCTGCTCTCTTCAGAAAGTTAAGGTTCTAACTCGAACCGCGTCGGATTATACTCGTGAGACTACTCACGACATTCACAAAATCAAAAGGAACCTAGATCCCAGCCTGCACCCTTTTGAAAAGGCTCGCGAATATACCAGAGCCCTTAATGCTGCCAAATTGGAGCGTATGTTTGCCAAACCTTTTGTTGGCGCATTGAGTGGTCACACCGATGGTGTATATTGCATGGCCAAGCATCCTAAAAAATTAACAACCATTATATCAGGAAGTGGTGACGGAGGTACCTCCTGCACATTCACTTGAATTTGTGAAGTCATCGTTGTCCATTTTAACATTGCCGAATCATATTCATCAAATAGAACTAAGGATTTGGGATTTATCCGAAAGAACCACCGTTTGGAAGGTTGCTGGACATAAGAGCATCGTCAAAGGCGTCTGCTGTGGTCCAAGAAACGATCTCTATTTTTCATGCGGGACAGACAAAACTGTTAAGATTTGGAATCCTGAGCAGTCTGGCGAAGAGCCCGTGAATACTTTTATCGGGAAATTTTCTTTTAGGTGATTAAATTATTCCCGCCGGAAATGGCTTCGATGATTATTTTTTCACCCAATGTTTTTATGTTGCATCGAATTATATAGTGCAATAGACCATCATCGCTCTGATTCAATATTTGCCACGTCCGGTTCACAAGTTGATGTCTGGGATCATAATAGGTGATATATACATATAGTTTTGTTGTTTGCTGTGGTCAAAAGATGCGGGAAAGTAATAATCTATTTATTAGGTCGGACCCTATCAAGACATTCACGTGGGATGCGGACACAATCAATACCGTTCGATTCAATCAAACTGAAACAAATATTTTAGGAGGATGTGGCACGGACCGAACAATAATACTTTATGATATCAGAGTGGGCTCGCCATTGGCAAAATTGGTCATGCAGGTGTTATTTCAGAAACGTTACAATGTATGAATTCTTTATCGAGGCGACTCAACAATTTTTCATGGATATCTATTGCAGATGAGAACAAATTCTATTGCCTGGAATCCTATGGAAGCTTTTAATTTCACGGCCGTATGTTAGCAACGACACCTTGACAATTATAATCTACATATTTTAACAGATGACTCAATATTAGGCCAACGAGGACCATAATTGCTACACATTTGATATGCGCAAAATGGAATGCGCGTTAAATGTTCTCAAAGATCACGTTTCGGCCGTGTGAGTAATCACGTGCTTATGTATAAATGGTAAATTCAGCGCATAAAATTCACGAGAAATACTTCTGCAGACTGGATTTAGATTACTCTCCGACGGGTGAAGAAATAGTCACCGGAGCGTACGATAGGACCCTTCGAATCTTCAACGCACGTAAAGGACACAGTCGCGACGTGTATCACACCAAGAGGATGCAACGTATCTTTTGCGTAAAATATAGCATGGACTCAAAATATGCACTCTCTGGTTCAGACGATGGTAACGTTCGACTTTGGAAGGCGAACGCGTCCGAAAAAATTGGTCCGGTAAGTGAAAAGAGATGTATCCACCGTCAGTACACGTTTTTATCAGTCTCTTTCTGATCAACAATATTTTTCAGACGGACTACCGAGAACGAGCATCTCTGGAATATGCAGACAGACTAAAGGAGAGATATAAAAATTTACCAGAGGTCAAAAGGATATTGAGGTATTTTTTTTCTTCTCGGGAAAAATGTCAATCCCACAATTTCGCAAGTTGACATTGTCATTCTTTCATTATAGGCACCGAAATATTCCAAAAGCAATTAAAAATGCACAGAGGACCAAGCGCATTATGCTCCAATCTCAAAAACAAAAAGAAGAAAATTTGCGTAGACATTCTAAAAAAGGTTCGGTGCCCCATCAGGTGGAAAGGAAGAAGTCGATCGTTGGTGCCACCAAGTAGTTATAAGTATTTAATATGCGTGGCGTTGGTATATGATGGAAATTAAAAGTTTCCTTCCTCCCGATATAAAGCGCTGGTTAAAAATGTCAAATTAATTTTATTGTATTTCCGAGCATAAGCATAATCATCTTTACAGTGGTCCAACATGATCTTGAGAAAATTTGTGTGATGCCAGAACAATAAAACAAAGCCCCCTATATTTATATGCGGTCAAGGTACAAGGATTACATTGAATATTATGAGGCCAAAGTAATTTTACTTTTCTTAGTACTTTTGTGTTGTCATGAAAAAATTACACCAAACTAATCATTGATAATTGCATAATTAACTAGCTTAGATCATTTTTTTTTAGTATGAAGAGTGCCAAGATGAATCGCAAAAATATGAACTAATAATATAAATGCTAGGAAAGTAATAATCGTAAATAGTACTACTAAATAAATTTTTTTTTTTTTTTTTTCGAAAAAAAAAAAAAAAAAGCTAATAATAAGTAATAGATAATAAAATAATAATAAAGTAGCATTCTCGTAATTGACACCATAAAAATGAATATATATCAAATGTATATATATGTTATCCTCGTTTGGGTCCCGAGGACAGTGAGAATGGGAAGTAGGGGAAGAAGAAGACCAAAGGTAGAGGAAATTGTTGGGTAGAGAAAAATGAAATTTTCCCGGACCGCCCAATTTCCAATGTCATTATGCGTCAATCACATCATTCCCAAGTTCATCAGTTTCATATATACAAATAGAGAATCACCGAGAAACGAGATTTAGGATAAGAATTAAGGTGAGGAGAAGAAAGGAGAAAGTTTATAGGAATATAATAGGGTTTACACTAAAACGAGGTGTTTGATGTACGTCTATGTCGCTGATCTGATTGGAATCACGCGAAAACACCAACTCTGTAAAATATATGTATATATATATATATTATTTAATAGATATGGTCTAAAAAATTTTGTCAATTATTTTAAGAATAGAAAATTATGTGAGATGTGAAGATGAATATAATGTCCTTTATAATCCGCCCATTTTGATATTAACGGGATGTGCTCAGATTCGTACGTTGTAAGAGTGTAAAACGTATCCACCACCGAATGGTCGCCTTTCAGGACTTTTTCCTTTCCCGACATCTTTTCCTTCTACCTCACGAGCAGATAGCAAATATTTCAGACCCGCTGCCGCTTTTTTCACGTCTACAGAGGTGTTTGGAACATGATTAAAGTGGGCTCGTGGCATTTGGGACATGAGTCTCTCCTCTATGGTCTTTTCCAGTTGTTGTTCAACCTCAGTTGAAAACGGTGACCCTTTCAGTGGAGGAGAATCCTGCGACAAAGAATAAAAGGGTGAATATGGGTAACGGATGTGCCAAGGGAATATTGCGTAGGATACTTTACCTTCGTGGTCACCTGATCTACGTGTCCACGGCTTCGTGCAGGTGATATATCTAAATTCTCGATGTCAGATTCAAGACGAGTTTCACTCAATGAATGTATGGTGTCTTGAGCCTCTTCCAAAAGATGCGCGTATTCCTGAGCTGATACCATCATTTCACTGAGCTTGCCTTCACATTTCACTTGTCGATTCTCTAATTCATTTATGCTGGCGCGCAGGTGTTCGTTCTCGAGGACAACCTGTGGAACGAATCAAATCGCGGGAAAGATTACTTTACTGTCGAAATACAAAGGTCACACTCAAAGAGAATAGACGTGAATGCTCACCCTTCCAAGGTCAGCTTGGATCATCTTGACGATTTGCGTAGTTGTTGCGCTAGATACTTTCTGGGAGTTTAGGGACTTTTCGAGCTGTATGGATAGGTTGACATTCATTTCTTGCGTGTCAGCAAGATGTTGCTCCACGTCAACTGTAAGAAGAAAGATTCTGGGTAAATAGACGAATTACTGAAGTGATTAAATAATAACTTGGAGTTCATAAATTACCAAGTTTTTTGGCGTATGTGTTTACTTTATTGCGCGACTCCCACATGTCTTCGGCCATATCATTCATCTGTCCCGAGAGACTATCAAGTTCTTTCCGGAACCTTTTTAGTTCTCGTCGAGCAGTGTCAAGCTCTTTCTGTAGGAATGCTCGATGTTCGCGTAGTATCTTTACTTGATCCTCACTGGCCGCTAGCTGGGTGGCAAGCTCATTGCTGTGAGAAGCCTTTGAGAACAGGACACGGTTCTCCTCCTCCAGCGCGGTAAGCTAAAGATTTAAAAAGGAAATCGATAAGTATGTGCATCGATTTATAGCAACATGTTAAAAAGATGAGAAATAATATGTAACACCAGAAAATAAAACTCACCTTCATGTAAGCTTGTGCTTCGGCTTGTTGTGCTAGATCCAACTTAATTTTAAGTTCTTCGTTTTTTCCCGAGATTGCGAGGCCTAAACGTGCTGCCATGTCTAAATTCTGCGCTATGCCGTCTTTCTCTTGTTCTTTTTGTATGAGCATTCGCCTCAAAACTTCTTTGTCATCAATAGAATTAACCTTAAGAAAAGTTTTATTTATTTTTTTTTTAAAAAAAAAATGAGATCGTTGGAATCCTTGAATTATAATAATTTGATCATTAATGGTATTACCTCTTCTATGAACGTTTTTCGTTCGGTGGCTACGATGAGAACAAAAAAAAAAAGGGATGGTAAGTAAAAGGAAGAAAGTAGGGGGTTACAAGAGCAACTGTATTACTTACTCGGAGGCATCGTATACAATTTATTAAGAAGAGGGTCAATTTCGTTCTGTGTGCGAAGGCTCTCGTTGGTCTTGAAGATGCATATATATATATGTGTTAGTTACAGTCTGCGGAATAAATAAAGTAGATTTCCGCGGGAGCAGCGGCGTAGAATTAAAAGGTCGCAGTCGTCTCCACGAATCGAATACGCAGCAAATATCAACGCTACGTAAGTCGATGTGCGACGATCTTTAAAAGAAAGAAACGATGGAAGGTCGCATACTGAACCGAAGTAATGCGTCCGAAGACCCTTGTACCAGAAAATGACGCAAATAAAAAGATATCACCAATGACTCACCGATTCGTATTCGCCAATCATATGACTCATTATTCAAACCCCTTGTGAAATCCGACTCGCGAAGTTGCAAGGTTTCCAAGCGTTTTTATAATAAGGGCAAAAAGAAGGTAAAAAAGTTCTTTGGGTGGTGAAAAATGTTTTTCTTCTTTGCGTTCTGTTCAATCTTTTTTGTCTCTCGTCAAAAAGACTAGCTTATGATAGACAGGTTATAGTAAGAAGGAAAATGGAATATAGTTCAGCTCGCAAGAAGTAAAACAGTTGATGCGGAACTTTTTTGAAAGAAATATTGCTAGAAAACTTTACAGCATGAAAGACATCACTCACTTTTTTCGATGAAATGGAATATGCCAAATACCCGACAGTTTTGAAGGAAAAAAAAGGTTTGTGACGTTGTGACACCAAAAAAATTTATAAATAGAGTGCACAAGGTTTTTTTATTTGTAATGTATTTATTATAAAACTGGAAATATATCGACATCGTAAATGAAAATTATTTGTCAGGTCCGACTTTCCCATTTTCATATAATAATTCTTCTTAAACACTTGTCAAAGCCACTACCAATCGTTTTCTTAATGTGCGACCAACAATATAAATTGTAATATAAGCGGGTCAATGTTTCTCTACGTATATGCAAATATGTATTGCTGCTAACAAATGTCACAATGATGTACAGCCAAGTCTCAAAATCAAAGCCTTAACCAAAATCGTAAAGAACATCTGCTCTCACTCCCCCGTCAACTCTCAATTGTTTTTTTTTTTTTCACGCACCGAATTCCTCTCTTTACGCCTATTTCTCGGTTGTATCTTGATATCTCGTTTCGGAATTTGATACTTTTTATTTACGTGTGTGAGTGATTAGATCACGAACCACACAAATGAACATTTTTATTAAAGTGGCAATAAAAGAGTTGATCACAAGTGCAATCATCTCATCGTGGATTTGGTCATGTTTCCTTGTTGACTCGTCTGTTCACCCCCGAGACGTCAAAAAGAAACATTTGTTTGTTTCGTCGTATTATTGAAGGATCTGTGTTAACGTGGACGACAAAGACATTTTTTTTTGGAATATCTCGCTAGTATTAAAATGTATAAAAAAAATCGACATACGTAATATCCTGGAACTGTGGAGTATTCTCTTTTCATAGTACGACCACCAACCTATTTTTATCCAACCCCATCGATAGAATTTTTGAATCAAATAACCTGCTTTTTAAAAAGCTCCATACTATCCAAATATATCCATATTTACGGAGACATGTACCACATATTTGACAAACAAGAATGGCTCAATCGTGCGTTGCTTCCAATAAATCGCGGGCTCTTGGAATTTGAGAACTTTAAACTATGCTCTTTTTTTCCTTTTATCTTTCAAACTAGCAAGAAGCAATCTTTGTCCGAGGCGTCGCACAGATTTCTTAAAATTCCTTGTTTTCCCACCGGGCAAAACTTATTAGATGGTTTTGGATGAGTGTTTCATTGGTTCGGTCTTCTCGTTTGATTGACATAAAATAAAAAAGTAACAGTGATGTGAGCTAAGCGGAACCTGCCAATCACTAGATTAACATTAACTGGTGTGACATTCTAGTAAAGGCATCTACCTACAGGAACATACGGGGTTGAAAAATACGCAGTTGTCACATTGCTTGTACACGTATTAGGTCTTTTTTGGAAAATCTTGGGAAACCAATTTTTTTTAAATGCATGCCAGCCTGTGGCCCGTGCCATCCTACGGTGTAACATTCTGACTTGATTATTAAATTTTAATATCCCCGCATCTGATTGGTTGGTTATTCTATATATGATGTAATCGAATTTCTCCAGAATTAATAATAATACTGTACTAAACAACTTCATTCGTGATCGGATTACACAAATTATTAAGGATAAGCATATCAATTCAGATGTCTATTTTTTTTTTTTTGGTGATGGTAGAAATAACCCCGTGACTTGAACAACTAAGCTTGCAACAACTTACTTAATTAATTGACGTATATATATATATATTATAGCTCGCATTACCTCTTTCATTTAAATAAATATGTAACCTGTCAAAAATCTATACGTAAATTTTAAGCCCTGTCGAATTCGCACCAATCTGTGATATATCACAGACCGTGCAAAGCCTCCCTTTGTATTCAGGCAAGTATGATGCATGGCAATATGGACACTCGACGGAAGGGCTACCCTTGTAAATTGGTGTATTGGAAATACCACAAATTACAAATGGATTGTACTGATCGTAGTCGAGTGTGATTTCATCCCGAGGAGTTTTTTCCGAGATCGACTGAATCTGACGTGCCTGATGTGCGAAAAGAAATTCTAATTAGAAAAAAATAACGATAATCACTCGGGGATGAAGGTTGCATTGAGATTCCTGCCTGTGTGGACACGTTTTGCGGAGGTGCCAATTCCAACAGACGCCTGGCAAACATGGAAGCGGTCAAACAGTTCTTGGCCTTGAAATTTAATGTCATCGCTGATCGTAGACTTAGCTGAAGGTGAGCTGGCTGCAGTCGACAGTGAGTAAAGTAAGCGGCTAACTCCAGTGCTCGTTTTGTATTTTCTGGGTTATCGGGTGGATATTTACGGCGCGTTTGTTCCATTGTAAGTCCAATTACATATTCACGACAAACTTCGATAAGTTGTTGTACCTACAACAAATATTTGAATTAGTTCATCTCATCTCATTTTTTTTTTGAATAATTCTTCTTACGCATTACATACTTCGTCTACTTCCGATTTTTTTGACACGGCTATCAATAAGATCGAGTGTAGAATATTTCGGAATTGTATTGTGGCATCCTGAAATTTTCCCTGGGTCGTCGTTTTATATGCCTCCTGAAGTTGCACAGATAAGATGTTCTGAAAATTGTTGGTGAGAACGGGCAGCACTCGACGGGCTTCTGTTTCTTCATGATTTCGTCGAACATGGCAGGCAAGAGGAGGAAGTGACACATTGCAAGACAGGTACGTGCGTGTTGCTTGAAATGCTTTTAAAAAATGTGTCTTTAACGGTTCGAAATTAACAGCTCCAACCTGTCTGTTGAGGAGCTACATCAAATCGATCAACAAGGTTAGCATTGAAAACCAAACCACCCATCCGATTGTTTCGACCATAGTAAATACCTGCATGGCTGTCTCAAATGATCCGGCGGCCACGTGGTCAGCAGCCAAAGGTGAATTATGTGTCCACACCTCTGATTCATTTGTACCCGAAGTAGGGGGCACAAATTCCCCTTGTGGTCCATTAGCAAGATCCCGAATCTCGGTATCCAGTTGAACATTGAGATCGGCGTCAATATCCCAACCAGAACCTTCTTCAAGCGGTGACGTTATGCGCTGATCATCAACAACATTCTCCGTGTCGCCACCAAATCCAAGATCATCTTCGCCTGCCCAATCTCCACCAATTTCTTCTACTTCATCGTTAGCATTGGTGAAAGAGAGTGGTGCCGCAAGTGGATTACTATCATTGGTGGCAAATGCACTATCAAAGAATGAGCGAGATACCGTTAGCAACGGCCAATTAGAATCGGCTTGTTTAATGATTTGTGTAGGTGGTTTCAGCAATTTTCCGTTTGTTGGTAGCCCTGTAATGTCTTCGGCGGTGATTCCAGCAGTTGCCAGAATCGATTCCGCCTCCTCGATGAGACCATGACTGTAAGCGGTTAGGTATGCAAGAGGTACTGTGATCGGAGAGAATGCAAATGATTAAAAAGAGATCTTTCCCAAATAGATTCTGATGAGTAGTAACATGAAAGATCCTTCTCACATTGGCCAACTTCTTTGAGTAACCGAATGCGTTCTTCGATGTCACCCAAGTAAAGCGAATTATGGAATCTTGACATGTAATCATTTCGTAGCTCTGCAATCTTTAACATCTTTCGCAATTTCTCAAAATTTCCTGTCGCCAGGTATAGAAACGATAAGCGATCAAAGTTCTTTATCCTTTGATACGCCATTTCGACAACCTATGAAGAGTAAGGATGCACATTTTGAATTCAAGAAAAGAAAGACAGAAAGAAAGAAGGTCATCCCCAACCACTGCCCACAGAGTATCAAAAGCAAACCTGGTGATTGCCTTGACGCAAAGCTTCGGAGCCTAGTTTACTCCAGCAATCCTCACGATCCATGGATTTGGCGGTTTCCAACGCGACATCAATGTTGCCACATTCAAGTGCAAGGTCAAACCGAGTTTTATCGTCTCTCACGAAATGCAGCGCGATCTTAATAAATAAATAGGAAATGTGATTAATATAATAGGAAGAATGTAAAAAGGAAAAAAAATTTTATTTCTGAAAATAAATAAAAGAGGAAATACCTCAGGATATCCCTTCTTTTGTAAATAGGCAATGATGGCCTGTCCAACCAAGTTTGAAGTGCGAATGATTTGCAAGACCTCGTCATAATTACGTTTGATGAGAGCCAACTTGAAGCGATATTCAGTAGGGTCGATGCTAATGACACGAGTCTTACCGTCCCTGTCTAGGCAGTGAACATTTTTCCCTTTGACCTTAGTGAGATAAACGGGCTGATCAAGAGTACGAATAATTCCATTATCTCTGGGAAAGTTGATGCAACCTTTAGCACTATCAGATAACCGTTGGAATTAATCTTCATTTCAATAAACCTACCCCTGAGGAAGTGCGTATTTAATATGATTTAGAGTGGAATACACAAAGATACCCGCGTCATCCCAGGCACCGCTCTTGATTCTGATCGTTTCATGAATCAAGCAACTTTGTTCCAACGTTTTGTTCGCAATTGTTATTGCTTTCGGTAGGAAAATTTTTTAAAATTTAAATCAATCGATGAGCCTTGTGGTACGAAGAAAACATTGCCACTTGTTTTAACTTACTATGCTTGCTCAAAAGAGCCACTTGTGTGTGCTCAGAAGACCACACTACATATTTTACAGGTGGGGTGCTTATCTCAGCAACGGTTTGACGCTGCTGAATATCATACAATATAACCGAAGTCGGGGTGCTGAGAAGTAAAAGATTGCTGCTACCAGCGCTGAAAATTTCGTTAACGATCGCAGGAGGTTTGACCGATTTGGTGGTAACGTTGGAGAGATCCCTGATTTCTATTTGCTGGGAAAGAAAACAAATAAACCACATATTCTGCATTGCACATTTGTATCTACGCACGTTTCCTCCTTATATTGCAGATACCTGACGCGTCTTATCCAATACTGCGAAACGATTTCTTGTAATGTAAATTGCTGATGTCCCACTACCACGTTTTCCATCACCGGATGGTTCCCGTGGTTCGCCACCAAATTCTTTTGGTAAATTAAGTAAATCGAAACTCCCACCATCTGTAGGCTTTTTTTATAAAAAAAAAATATATAACATCAATTTCTCGGGGCCCATTGCAAGAATTTTTTTAAAATAGTTTATCATCTGACTAACCGTGGTCAAGATCACAGCACGCTCGGCTGGGTTGTATGAAAGGGCCCGTGGTTGCACATATTGTCCACCAATTTTGCGCACCGAGAGAACTGGCAAGTCTGATCCATTGGAAAAATCAAATACACGCAAGTTTTTATCCTTGACATAGAAAAGATTATTCTGGTGAACCGCGTATGCCGGACGTTCTCTTTCCAACTTGAAAACTATGAGACCATTGTCATGACCTTCGAGCAGTAAAATTGTTAATACGACTGGTTACAACTAATCTTAACCGGGAAAATATTGACTAAAATTTTTCTACCAGCTGCAAACAGATTCAATTCGGGGTGGGCAGTCAATACCCAGAACCTATCATGCTCGCGTCTAAAAGTTTGTACAAGTGTCCTTTTTGACATATCCCATACGCGAATGGTCTTATCCTCAGCATCAGATATAATCAACTCTTGTCTCGGATGAAATAACGCAGCAGATACATTGTTAAAATGGCCTCGACATGTATCAACCTCCCAAGCCTTAGTGTCTGTGTATACCGGTAAATTAAAGATTAAACAAGTGTTGAAAAAAGAGAAAAAAAAAGAGAAAAAATAAAAAAGAAAAAAAAAAAGGAAAAAATAAAAAAAAAGAGAAAAAATAAAAAATCAAAAAAAAAAGGAAAAAATAAAAAAAAAGAGAAAAAATAAAAAATCAAATAAAAAAGAAAATACCATTCATTCGCCACAATTTTATTTGACGATCATCGCCAGCTGATACAATTAACGGAAGGCTAGGGTGGAAAGTGGCCCAGTTGACACCACGGTCATGGCCTTCCAACACATATTTTACTATCGCATCAGTACTTCCAAAAATATCAGCCTGAGCCGCAGTCGCTCTGTGCAGACTATCTTCGAAAGTCATAGTACTAGGTGCTGCATTTTTTTTCCTCAAACCTAAATTGCAGAAGATCATAAGAATAATCGACCATCACACGGTTACAGACCAATGATTCTTTATAATACCCGAAATGTCCCAGACTCTAACGGTCTGATCCAAAGATGCTGAAACAACCAAGTCTTCTTTTGGGTGAAATTGAGCACACATGACATAGTGATTGTGCCCTGTCAAAATGGCGATGCAATTCCTTGATTGCCAATTCCAGATACGAATTGTTTGATCGTCTGATGCACTTAGAATCCATGGATACTCGTGGTGAAAGAACACCGTTCGCACATAATCCAGATGCCCGTTTAATGTGAATAAACATTTGCGGGTCTTATAATTCCACACCTTGATCTTATAATCATCACCACCTGACACGAATAGGGGTTGCGTTGGATGGAAGGCTATGCCACGAACAGGTCCTATAATGATACGTGTAAATTGTTAACTTTAACAGATTGTAATCAACATCATTGAGTGGATCATCTTCAACCTACCGTCATGTTCATCGAATCGTTCTAAAAGGGTACCCATGCGATAATCCCACAATTGTATGCAACCATTATGAAGCGAAGCCAGAATCCACGGTCGTTTGGGATGAAAAGCAATCCCTTTAACTCGATTGCTTTTTGATTCGAACTTTATACAAAAAAATTTGGATTAACAAAATGGTATTGCATGTAAAGTGTATTCTCGCGAATGATAGGACATCACAAAACTTAAGTGACATCAGTATTTCAGTGTGATATAAATGAACCTTTGTTAACATCTGCATTTTGGTAATTTATATAGCTTGCAACGCTATTTTCTGACTTCCTGAATAGCGGCCTTGTCTCCTAAAGGTCAAATCACTCGAGCCAGTTTTTTTATTACTTGTTAGTATAATTCAACATTTATCAGTTTGATTGGTTGATCAGCCGGTGTAACTAATAAAGATGGACCAAGTTTTTGGAGTCAAATTATCTTTCGAATCGTATAATCAACAGGGTATCTAATGTTCCAGATCATGTCCGAGAAAAAGGTTCATCAAAGGAAGGACAAATTAGATTTTGATTGTAGGCCACTGAGGGTGAGAGAGACACGATATCCCATTCAATTGCCATTACAAATTGATATATAGCTTGGTCAAAAAAGAAAGGTGTTTAAATGGAATGATTTAAGAATATAATTTTTTACGAGACGATGCCTCAAGATAACCAAATTTCGTTTAAACATTGATAAGTTTTAGACAATAAAGTAATTTAATAACTCATCATGACAATTTAATTAACGAATTTACTTGAGAATACAACAGTACATTTGAAACCTTTTCATTTTTATTATTTTCTATTGTATCATGAATTAGAAATAAAATAAAAATAAAACTATTAAACTTTTATAAATTATTTAATTATTTTATATTTTATTCCTAATAATTATCATCATACTATTATACAATGTTTTATGTATTTTATAATCCAATTTTTTCTAATCACTCGGCCTTTAAATAATAGTGACTCTTTATATACTACCTACCGTATGGCTGCATATACTGTAGACACAGTAGACACTTGTAAATCAAATGTAATAAATAAAATAAATTTCTCAAAAACATCCTTCATATAGGTTCCTTGAATATCTGATGTCGAATCACTTGCTATAAATGACCGGAAAGAAATTTGCATGGTCACTTATGGTAAGGAAGAAATAGCAAGTGATCAACACATTTTGGTAATTTTATGTTTCATTTCTACAAGACTTTTCGTTCTTTCTAATAGTATTCTTATATGAGTGCTCGATATGTAAATGGTATTCGCATATCCGCATACTTTAATTTTTAAGAGATCGGTTGGACGAGAAAAAAGGAACACAGTGCCTACGATGATATCATTACGTATTTGATTGTTTTTTTTCGAAATGTTTACTCAATCTCATATCTAGTATCACCATATTTAATAATTCGGTATTAATGTTAATGGTACATCCTAGTGGTCGTCGCAACCAAGTGATTTATAAATTTCGTGATTCCCCCCTCTCAACATTAAAGTCCATCTCTGTTACGATATCTATTAAAAGAGGCGGTAATCCTCGAGGAATATTTATTCAAAGATCTGTAACTATTAGCCAACAACCATTGACCAAATTTCATCACCTTCAAATGCACATTATAATGTTTGATTGTAACAAAAAATATCATCACGATTGCCACCATCACTGCTATCATTGCTATCACCTGCAATACCATCCAGAAAATATTAATCCAATCTTGCCTCCTCGCCCATCTTATTAATCCTTTCGAAAGATAACTTGCAGGATTTTTCTTTCTGCTATAGCCCGGCTTCCTATTAATCTGAAATACTTCGTAATCTTCAATGTCGTATTCGGTGGACGTGGGATGAGGAAAGAATTTGACTGCGTCTGGGTATGTCATCAATTTTTGACTATTGTATATGGATCCTGAATCTTTTATGATCAGATCACCGGTGTATCCCCATCCAGGTCCGTACTTGCGATTGTAATAGATTGCATGCCTAGGATTCTGCACTCTAGCTATCTTGTAATCTTTGTTGTGGAATGAAAATAAGAAACTATCATTCGTTTCCCACCAATTTCCGCTATTACTATTCGCGGTGTCAAAGTTAGAAGCTCCAACTTCCTCACTACTAACATGGGACGACCAGTACAGAGGATTATATCCACCAACCAATTGACCTGAAGCGACAAGTTTGGCCACCATAATCGTGGCACCCTTGTGATCACATAATTGATGAAACGTGTTTGGATCAAATCCATCTCTACTCGCTCTTAGCAATAATTTAAAACTATACGGATTGTTGTTCTTATCGTAGTACATAACCTCGTCATCTATCCAACTAGCTAGTATTCCGACATGATCTTGTTCGAGAAGTACTGAATCAAAGTATCGTCCTTTCCTCGGAGCAACTAAAATATTACTCGGTTTATTCCCTGAATCCAAATAGAAACCCATGATCTCTTCGTATAAAGTCTCGGGCAATAGTTTTTTAAATGGTCGGACCCTGTGTAAAAAATCGCTGGAGGAGATGTGAGCCCATCTTATGTATGGAATCATGTCTTTTAATATCTCTCTTAAATCTGCGAAATCTTGATCTGTAAGTTGCAACAGATTCTTTGACATGTTGTTCTCATTCAATGTCAAGTTCATCGAGTTCTGCGCGATTGACCATTTAAGGATGCACCACCAAATATCTATCTCTTCCATTTCAAGATCTTCTCGTTGTAAAACAAGCAATAGAAGCGACTTGTCAACCAATAGGTAATCTGATGAGCCAAAAATGATTTTAGGGTTTTCACAGATCGCCTGAAGACAATAATCTCTTAATGAAGCGCATGCATCGTACAGGAATACTGTTTGGAAGAATCTTATAGGACTTGACGTCAGGAATTCGGATTGATTATCGATCAAGTATCTCTTTACTACTTTTACTATCTTCTGAAGGTCTAATTCGTCAGCAGCCACGAGAATTTTAATAATTTCGGTGCCATCCTTTTGACTTAAGTCTATGGCTCCCGTGTATAAATATCTGATGTTCACCATAGGACAAAAAATCATTGAGTTTTTGGAAGACTAACAAGGATATCGTAAAGTATCACGTACTTGAGTATTTCCTTAAAAGTACTAGGCGAGATGTTTGGCTTCCGAAAAACAAAAACGTCACCAGACTTACGCATCCATCTACTCGATAAAGCGGTCTGAAAGTATGGACACCGAGCTGCTAATATTGCTGAATGCACACGGAATTCTTTAACATGGGATTCCTCGCCGACTTGTATTACCACGTCATATCCAGCTCCGGTGTCTAATAACTCAGCCATATCTTCCGAAAGGTCAGTCAGAAATTGGTGTGAAGGTGCCATAAATAATTTTATTAAAATTCTATGACCCGCGTATTGAAACGTTTAGGAGGTATCGGTGTGTACTTGAGAAAAGTTGAATACGTGATAGATGGGAAAATTTGATCATCAGAATTAGTAGTACCCATAAATTCAGGATATTCACCATATATTATACATATATATATAAGCACATACGTAAATCTCTTTTTACATTACAACAACGCGCAAATCTTGTAACAATGGTTAAACTTGAAGAGGTATCACTACTCACTCTTTAGCTCATGACTGTATCCTTCGATTCTTATTTATTTATGCATTTGGACGCGCCAAATGTCAGGTGTCAGAAGAACACGAATTTACTGACGAGGAGGAAGATAACGAATCGATCAGTTCCGCCGATTCGGGTTCTTCAGAAGAATATCAAGAATCTTTTATTGAACGGATATTGGCTTTGCGTGATATTATACCAGAGGATACGCGTGAATCTATATCGAACAATGTTTCAACAATAGTGCATATTGGCGCGAAAAGTGCTCGATTTCTGGGTAATGCTTTTTGGGTGTTGACAACATCAGCCTTGATCTTGGTCATGCCTTTGGCATTAGAAATTGAGAGGGAACACACGATCATCCAAATGGAAAATGAGCAGAAAGCTTTGGTATGAAAACCAACGAAAATTTTTTATATTCGTATTTTATTTTATTATCTTTTTTTTTTTTAAAAAAAAAATTTTTTTTCTTGATTTATTTGTGTGAATTAGATGGGTGGACAACCGGGCGTTCCTTACGACCAATCAGGTTCCCTGGGGCAACATTCACAATCCCAGCAACAGCCTCGATTGGTTCCTCCCGGATTCTGATCATAATCTGTCATCGCAAGAGAAACTTGATGTAATAATAAAATGATGAGAAATTAATTAATTATATATATTAGTATTTCTTTAATGACTTATTTTATTATTTTGTCGTTTTACGAATTTACGTCCTTTAAAGACTCTTACTCCAATACTTTATATCGGAGGTTAATAAAAATATCTATCTTTCCTATGGATTCTATTGGCGCGAATGGCGTCTTAATTCTAGACATTTTTAAGCAAATCAACTGTAACTTCGTATATGTAGAAAGTCACTGCATTCACCGGCCAAGCTCTTACAAGCGTTGGAATAATTCCTCTGAAAAACACCGAGATTCCTTCCTTGTGATATGAGCGGACAGCACAGTCGATTATACCACGAAAGGATCCCGAAATCGCACGTGTACTATTGATGACACTAAGTGACGACAATGGTTTCGCTGGTATGACAGAAGGGTATCGCTGTTGCGTCTGTATTCGAGATTTGATAACGTCTTTTTGACGCGTCGAATTTGTTAATGGAAATTCAACAATCAAGCAAATCCGATGTTAAGAGCTAATATTTACCTAAAGGGTAGACGCCGGCCCATGACACAACTCCGGCCATGCCACCGGCAAAAAGAAGTTTTGAAACATTGGAGTAATCCGAATTATCGGGAGTCACATGAGTCAGACGTTTAATGCCCTCATAAGTCCTGGTGTTATCAGATGTTTTATTAGTCTACTGAATTATGTGTTCTCATAATGGCAGTCGAATTTTGTAAAAGGTACCAAAAATATAATCCATATCCTGGCGCATCACGAATTATGGTTATAAGGCCTCCGTGGTAAAGACCTGAAAATGGGTTCAATGTCTAAGGGCCGAAAACCTGATCAAATGAGAGCGAATTGTTGTTATTTACCTCTGATCCCTTGAGTCCTGATTACCTTTTTAAATATCTCAAATGAACCTGGTTCCGTTCTTGAGGTCTTGATGTTTTCAAGATGATTATCACTGACGGGCGATTTAATGACTTGTGCCCTGCATTTAATCAACTCGGTTGGTGTGCTAACTAAACAACATGCAGCACCAGCTCCGGAACCGGCCACGTAAACATGGAAAAGTGGGATCCGATCTTCTGAAATTCTATTTTCTCTTTCGAAGAGACGCATGATACCTCCATAAGAGGCGAAAAGAATCGAGTTCAAGAATGCGAGACCTATTATCGGAGAGCCCACACCTTTGAATAATGACTTGGCCTTTTTTTTCGATTAAATGCATGTGGAAGTCATTATTGAATTACGGAAATCGTAAATTTTCGTTAGGATTCACGGGATCACTTACCCCTTCCGACCTTTTCATTTCCATTAGTATCCTAAACGAGGATTTAGGTGCACCATGCACACTTACAGGCGAGCCGGTTTGTAAGCGCACCTATTTAAGTGCTGGACTTAATCTTTGGACAGGATCACAGGATCGCATTTGCAAGAAAATTACCTTTAAAACATCCAATGGACTCCCAACTATCAATCCAGCCACCCCACCAACGTATCCTACAAATCCATGCGCCTAATTACTCACGAACACATGACCTTTGGAGGTATTCAATTCAGATAAACACTCACCTGCTATAAAATCATTAAAACTTTCGGCTATTTAAATTCATTGCACATTTAAGTACGTTTAAATTATTAGTATAAACTGATCTCTCAGCATCCTAAAAAAGTTCGATTGTATAATCGATAATTACCCATATTACTTATATTTAAAACAAAAGTATTTAGTAATTTCTCTGCCTAGAAGATTTGACTCCGTAGATTCTCCGTACGACATTATATATTTCCTTTTCGGAGTTTCGTGATCGACAGTTCGCACTCGACACCGTCAAATTCCGAGAGCAATCTTCTGAACTCCCGCAGACAAATAAAAAAATGCCTCGTACACCAAGCCCCTACGATAGACGAGAAAGAAGATCGAGGTCTCCCTACGGAAGAGACAAGGACAGATATCGTGAACGAGACAGAAGAGAACGCCGAAGAACGCCCGAGAGGGGTGGTCGTTACCGATCTCGTTCTCGTTCCCCCGGTAGAAGAGGTAAAATAATAATCATATATTAAATCACAATATAGGGTTGAATCCCAGGATTTATTAGAACGGATAAGCAGGCAGGTCGGTTGTTCTGGGATTTCAACCCTTATTGTGTTAATAACTTTTTCTGCTTGTCGAACTAGTAAACACACCGTTACAACAGAAAAGGTACGCTGGTTCAGAGCTGAATTACATTGTTCAACTATAATTTAATATTTGGTGTTTCACGTCCACTTCTACTCCATGTAAAATTACAGAGCGAGCTTTAAATTCTCGTACTTCTGAACGCGATCGCAAGGGTAAGGTTAGAAATTTATCCCGTAATTTGATAAAAATTGACTTCTTTAATGTAAATTCTTTTTTTATAGATGAAAAATATGATCGTGAGCGAAGAATCAACAAGTCACGATCTCGCTCCCCCAGGTAATCAGCTTTACTATGATCTATTTTTGTATGCCACATTAATCTAGAGTTTCTCATTTTGATTTTTCACATACAATCACAGAAAGGACGATGTTAGCAAAGCCTCTGGAGGTTAGTGAAGACAAATTAATGTCGACGTTGTTGATGTCAACTTCGATAAATATATATATTTCTTTATTTAGAACCGTCCAATAATGTTCCCGATGATATGAACCTGGATGATGATCCCGAGCAAGCAATGATGAAGTTAATGGGACTAACAGGATTCGGTTCTACGAAAGTACGCTTTTGTTGATTGTTGATTCATAAATGTTTATAAATGATGTTGATGGACAAAATGATTTACTCAAAAATGAATTTTTAGGGTAAGAAAGTTCAAGGTAATGATTTCGCGGCAGTTAGCATCAAGAAGCAACGACAATACCGACAATACATGAATAGACGTGGAGGATTTAACAGGTAAATAAGATTCCATAACACTATATATTTTTTTCTCATGAGAATTGCACTGATTTCAATATAAACATTATATTCAGGCCATTGGATAAAATTCAGTAAGCGTAAAAGTTGTCTGCGTGTTGGTAGCTCTTGCTTTTTTTTTTTCGACTTTATATCATTGAAATATATATATGGTGTATCATAAGATAAATGAATAAAGTTAGAATTAAGATGCGCTCTAGGTAACCGTTCACATCATCACAAAACCTAATTATAACTAATACATGAAAGGTGTAATGGTATGAAACTCCCTTATGAAATTAAAATAATAAATTATCTTTTTAAAGTTTTTTAACAATATCTTTGAATCACGAATCATATTTAATAAATTAAATTATTTCAATATAATATTATATTTCTCATAATTAATATGCTGTATTTAATAAGACATATTTTATATAAAATAATTTATTATAACTAAAAAAATCAACACATTAACTATTATAAACTTAATAGTAATAATATTTGAAATATGTAAATTTTGAACCTACCTCCTTATAGTGAGATAGTTAATAAATAGTTATCATATAGACAACATGGTGATCTTGGTATTAAGGGGATTCAAAAATTATATACAAATTTATAAACTCATTAATGTATATTTAGCTCTAATATAATAATTTTATTGTATTATTATTTTCTAATCAAAGATTAATAAGTTTATTAATATACAAACTGATTAGAAGTAAATAAATAAATATAATATATAATGGAATATACAATACATTGTAAAATATCTTCTAATTTTATTTAACAATAATAAGTTTTAATAAAAAAATTTTTCTTATAACTTAATTATATTATATTCAAAAATATTATTTATTCATTTGTTATTTATTTATTATAACTATTGTTATTTATTTATTATAACTATTGTTATTTATTTATTTAATTATCAAAATACTGTATATTTAATTAAATTTAAATTTATTAATAAAAATTTATATTAAAGTTTTATTTTTTGATCCAGTTTTTTTTTTAATTCATAATCAAATTTTTATTAAAACAAATAATATATATTATATTATATTATATGAATTATTTTATTGTTTTAAACATTTGTTTATAACTAATATCTTTAAATATAACTTTAAAAATAAATAAGATTGTTTTTTTTAATATTTATTGGCTTATAGTATTTGACATTAAAAATTATTACTTGCAGTTTATTATTATAATTTATCTAAGCAAAATTTAAATTATTTTTATATTTTTAATAAATTATTTTTTTATTATTTATTTTCAAATTAATAATTTATTTTAAATTTAATAAGAATTAGAATCTTCTAAATTATTCTTTTGTAAAATCTTGAAGTTTATGTTTTTTTTTTTCTTTTTGTTTTTGACTTCTTAATTTTCTTTTTTTTTTTTATATAATAATAATTTTTTTTTTATATTTATATTTTGAATTTATTCTTAAGTTTTATAATTTAATATATTTATTATTTTATATTTTTTTCTAGAATTGTTTATAAATAAATTTTAATAAATTGTTTTATTGATTTTAATTTCTATTTTTGCTATCAATTATATTTATTCTATAATTTTTTTATTAAAAAAGTTTCAAATAGATATTTAAAATATCTTTATTAATAAAAAAATTGTTTTTATATTATTTTTGTAATAAATCTTATATAATAATTTTTATATAATTTCTAATCATTTATTAAAGTATTTGATTTTGAATTTTGTTTTATATTTTTATATTTTTTTTCTTGTTTATAATATAAACAATTGAATTAAAATATATCTTTTAAAGCTACTTTGATAATAAGATTAATTGTTACTTCTTAACTTACAATTCCAATAATAGATTTTAAAATAAGAAGTTTATATTAGGTATAAATGATAAAAAATTAATATTGCTAAAGTATTGTTTTGATGATAAATATAATTACCACTCTTTAATATTCAGTCCTAGCAATAGGTTTAAATAGAGAATTAATATTGAATACAAATAATAAAAGACTGACTTTATTTTGATATAGTTTAAGTTTAGTATAGTTTGAAATCAATACTTATTCTACTTGTTATATATCAAGTCATATTTGAAAACAAATATGTCAATTCTAATTATAACTTGAAAGCAAACCTGTATATAGTGGTTGCAATGCTTTCATATGATTAAGTAATTATATTTTTTAGATAGCTAAATATTATTCAAGATATAATATAGATTTTAAATTAAATTTTTTTTTCTATATTCTTAAATAATATTAAAGAGCTTAGATAGATAGGTCACAATTGTAAACCTTATATTAAATTTTTTTTTTTTAAAACAAACTGAATCTTGCTTAACAAACTTTATTAAGATTAATATTTACATATATTTGTATATATTTGTATATTGTTATGGTGAAAACACGGCGAGTCAGTCGCTTCAGTCTGACTCACGTCGTGTCACGTTTGGGGCGGGTTCTTGCTTCTCAAAAGAGGCGTGTGAATTTGGCCAGAGTCTGGTAACGCCAATGCAG